CCTATATACACAAAAACATCCTTTTGGGGTTGTCCAAAACGAACACGACACGAAGCACCCGCGTCGTCATTGTGAATGTAAAAATGACGGCTGAGTTCCAACCACTCACCTTTTATTATGTCTATGCGAGGCTTTGATTGAATGTTGTTGACCTCAGCATTGTGTTCGTGTTCTATGCTATCAATTCGTCGGCAGCTACTGAATTGAAGTTCGTGCCGATACCTTCTGGCGCTTATCAGAAGCATATTTCTTATACCAATGTTCGGAGGTCCACTACCGTTGACAAATCATACCGACAACTCGAAAGTCCTAAAAGAGACTGATACTTCAGAAGACGGGTACGCATGACCGGCACCGTTATTGAGTCGCGACGGTTTGAATGTCGGAAGATTCCATGAAAAAGAGTGAGGGCCGGAGGTGTTAGTGAATCATGATAGTATTGCTGACCCAAATGAAACCTTGACCCAGCCACATTTATTGCCCTATCGGCAACGAAGTCGGAATTGGTGACTACCTCTATACTTCCAAGTTTTCTCGGACCTAAAGATCCGATATCCGTGATTGCAAACAAGCTTTAAGGAGAGTAATGTTGGACCCGTGCTCGCAATGTATACAGGCACTTTTCGATTGAATTTAATTATGTCCACGCAGAGCCCATAAACAACCCAGGAGAAACGCGAGTTACCTCAAGATTATGCCATCTCAAAATGAATGAGAACGTATCGGCGGTGCTCCTTGAGAGGGATAATCGCGCGCAACGATCCCACAGACTTTGAATTTGTAATATCACGTTGTTTTTGGCTTTTTTCTCTTTTCTATTCTTAACTTCATACGATCTCTCGGTCCATTGAGGACGGTTGACTAGGGTTCATAATACTAAACACACGCCTAATATCCAGTCCTTTCACCAATGCACCTATGATACACTGTGACATATATGGCAACCAACCGCCTACAGATATCCTTGGCGTTTCTCCTCTAATTCGGTTTCTTTTTTCTGCATACGGGGTAAATCACACAGAAACTCTTGGTAGCATTTGAGCCAATTCGCTGGAAGTATCTTCGTTGCTGCCCAGACCGAACACATATGCTTTTCTGCCCATAGGACGATTATGCCCAGCTTGTGCGTCGTTCACGCGTGAACTTGATGTCTTTTTCTGGAACTGTTCCGAGCGATTTTCTGGACAGAGTTAGAATGGAATGTGTCCCTCTGCCTATAACTTTTCTCCGCATCGTCGGTCCGTCAAAAATATCCGTTCAGTAATGCCCGATATCTTCTGTCAGGTGTGATATAATCCATTTCGTTGAGTACCAGTACCAAATATAGACATCTTACTAGAACCTGATATAAGGCAGACCCCTTTCTCCGAACAGATCCTCAGTCAATCCCCGCCTTGCATCTAAATCAGTACTGCCCTCTCATCCTCATAGTTTACAATTCAGCATGTGCATTTCGTCATCATTCTCCTCGACGCCCCTCCGCAAGGATTATCATCCATGCGCTTGGCAAGTGCCGAACAAAGCGCCGCAGTCGCTATTGTCCGACTCGCCAATGTTCGTGCATGCCAAACCCAGACCCAACGCCCCGCAATGCTGCCACTGCGGGTGGAGGGGTGAACATGCACCGGGGTGCCCATTCAAGTAAACGACCTGGATCCAAGTCAGTCACAGTAATTCTCCTTTCACACTTTACTTACCGCTTACTAGCCCCTTGTCATCAGGACCCATAACCAACTGCGATTCGCGTCCTTGCGCTGCCAACTTTCTCCCAATTTGTGATCATCGTTTTATATGGTTTTCATTGCTTTGCTTTCGAGTCGTACTGCTATTCCTCTGTGCATAATTTCCTACCATTGTCTTCTATTGCTATCGACGCTTAACATTTTGCCATTTATCATGTATATATATTTTGTAGGTTCTGAACTGGTACTTAAAAATTCCACTGTGACTAACTGATCGTAACATCCCTGGAGATAAGATGGTGCCCTATTTCCTCATTCTCGTGATAAGCTCTTGCGTCCTTACGTTCAAAGTATTCTTTGATACACAACCTAGCCATCACTACCTTATCTTCCACCACGAACTCTTCTTGAAACGGCCAATTATAAGCAGCATACTAGTACGTTTCAAGAAATGTTAGCATACAGAACTACGTAAACAAGGAAACACGCGCCATCCAAGTTGTGAAAATATTTCCAAAAGAATCACCCTCTCATGATTGTATAGTTCCCCCGAAGCTATGAGACGCCCACCGCACTTGATCTGACTGACCTCGAGCATGAATGGGGTCATCTTAAACTTTGAACATGACTCGCCACAGTAGATATGCTTCTCGATCAGCATCGATGGGACTGGGACCACGACGGAACAGCCAAGCTGCTCGACATGCGCGAAAGATAACCCCTGGACCTTCAAGCATAAAGACCTTAGGACTAGAGATGGTCATTCTAGAACTACGCAAGCTCGCCGTCCTCAACACTTCTCGGAAAACCCACCCCGCTGCTGTCTTAGGTTCCGACGCAAATACAGCTATCAGCCATGCTTGATAAACGCCAGATTCATCTGCACGTATGGAAGCTAAGGTGGATCTCATTGCTCGTACAAGTCGTGAAAGATGACAAACACACTTCAGCTGAGAATTTCTGTAAGGTTGCGAGATATGTGTGAAGCCCTCACGCTTGGAAAGGAATCGAAATTTGTTGACGACAAGTCCGGAATACTTGAAACGCACGGTGCGGAAATTGAACTGTAGTGAGATACAGCCAGGACGACATGGAGCCTCTTCGGAAGGGAAATTTAATAGTAACGACAGGTGTCTTTCCCAGAGGAAGCAGAGAATAGTCACATGAAAAGAACACCGTAAAATAGTGGCATAAGTAAACGCGGGGTGCGAGGCGTCACGTTACAGGCTTCGGAGTTACGTAGCACGATTATTTGCCCAACGTCACGTAGAAGACTTGAGAACAACGTAGTCATTGAATATAATACGGAGATATACAATCTAGGCTGTAGTGAGTCAGGAATAATGTCACTGACCCAAGAGATCAACGTACAGTGAGTATGCGAAGTAAACTGGTACGTGGTAGGTATGAGCATGCAGAATGGTTCGTCTAGGGACGGTAGACATTGTATACAATGGTCTGCACTCGCGCCTTATCCTACATGATGAACGGAGCAGGGGAAATGACTTGAAAAAGAGATAATGCGTCCATAACACGTCGCACGATAACCCAGGGTAAGTGGATGCGACGTCCATGGGTAGATGTACGCAGAAGAGTATCGTCGAAAATCGACAACGTCTGTCTCTGCCCATCGGATCTAAGAAAGAGACTCTGCAGGAGTAAATCATGAGAAGAAAACAGCTTCGAAAATAAGGACGGCTCACCATCCACGATATCTCCTGGAAATTCCATCTCATCCTTCCGGTAAGGGATTATACAAGCTCCGCTACCAGCCAAGTAAGTGTTTGGCCAAGTTAATGCGCTGAACAAGTACCTCGAACTTTTCCGCCGCCACTTAGCACGTACTTTTCCCAAGAACACATTGATAAGATCATCTCCACGTCTGCGCGTATCCAGAGAGAAGCTTTCGCAGGGATAGATGGGTCGAGATCGAGGAGAGGATTAAGAGACGACGATGTACTCGTACTACAATACAAAAGTCATCAGGAAATAGTACGTCAGGCTTAGGTTTCCCGGACTCGCTTGTAGTCAACTCCTATGCCGTCCCAGCTGGCATCAACACCGGTACCATTACGAGGCACTTGAAGCATTACGTATCTCGTTTGAGTCGTTGGAAGAGATTAGACAGACGATACCTATAGGAGCACCAGTTATGCATGGGCATGTTTATGCCAGATGGACCCGTGAGATGCGACGCGACTTCGTGGGAAATACCAGATTACGTTGAGTTGATTGTAGTTCTATCACGGCAGCAGAAGTAACGGAACGACGCGAGTAGAGACCATAGAGAAAGCCGTTGTGTACTGCCACGCCAGAGTAACATCTGCTGGAGTCCTGAAGGCCCGACTGAGGTGGAAGCAACGATCCGCGGAAGCCGTTTCAATTCTTCCTTGAGGGTGTGTGGGAGCCGTTTTCCGTGCACCTAAAAGCTGAGGATTCTGTGCGAGTCTAGAGGCAATCGGGCAAACATAGGAAATGAAAATTACAACAGTTACCAGGATCCAAGTGCGTGCTTGAAGGAATCACCTTGTTCCCCTCGTGCAACGATACCTTGCGAACGGAACAGAGCCCATGCTGGTGGCGCCGAGATTCGTCCTGGTTGCTTTGTTACCATCGCCATACCGCACAAATCAACGTCTTAAATTCATTTCAAGGGCGATACTTCGTGGTCGCCAGCTTTCCGGGCTCTGAATTGCGCGGAGCAGCACCGGCATAGACGTTCATCGCACAACTATTCCCTTGTTGCTAGACAGTTAAGCATCTGGAGAAGCATTCACATCTGCGAGAAATCGACAAACATGCCATCGAAAAGAAGGAGAAAGTTACACGCATCCAGCCAATCTCGTCCAGAAACCAGAAGCAATGATAAACGTAGCATAGCGTTAAGGCGCTTTAACGTCTCGAATGGAATCCAGAGTCATCGGTGGAGCCCCAGCATAGTTGAAGAACATGGTGTGCCTCGACCCTAGTCATGCTGCACGGAAAAGTTAGACAAAAGAAAGGCCACACGGAGAGTGAAAGTTAGCAGTCATGCTGGGCATCTTACCCTTATGGTTGCGGATGAAGCAGGAAGCGGCCACACCACAAGAACGCCGTCGAGTAGGGGAAAAGCTGCGAGGTCACACTACAGGGCCTTCGGTGTCACGCATCTCAATTCTTGGGGTCATGATCACTCAGAAGACTTGAGAACAGCGTAGTCGTTGAATAGAATACGCAGAAGTACAATCTAAACTATACCAAGTCAGAGAGGCCGTCATTCGGGTAAAAGATATCGACGTACTATCAATTACAAAATACAAAATCTGAATGAATCAGTCGTCGTGCCTTATTCTGTATCGAAGAAGTGAGATGTAGAGTCCTATGAAAAGAAGGGGAAACTCACGTAAGAAAGCCCTTACGAGGAACGAACTACGACGTCCAGTGCGCCAAGCCAAGGCAAGTGTAGGCGAGATGTATCGTGTATCCGCACAGGAACGTCAGAAGTAAATATATGCGGAATAGCATCGTTGAGAACCAGACAAGTAGGTAGGTGGGACTACGCGGGACGATGGGGGTAGATAAAGGCATTGTATACGATGAATCAGCTGTCGTGCCTTATTCTGCATCAAAGATGTAAGATGTAGGACAAAGACGTAGGAATCCTTTCAGAAGTCGATGGGTTGTAACATTTCCCGCATCGAGCCTAGGCAAGTGAGGGCGACATCCATGGATATTTGTGTAAGACCGCTGAAAGATGCATGCCAACGAGCGTCGCTGAGGACCGATGACATGCTCGGAGCAGGCCCATCTTGCCGATCCAATCAGAGGAAGAAAATCTCTGCAGCGCCTAAGCATGAGAAGGAGACAGCTTCAAAATAACAACGCACCGAATAAGTACCTCGAGTTTTTCCGCCCAGTTTTTCACAACCTGCACGCTGTTTACGCCATGAAGTCTTCTCCACGTTTGCGTGTATCGCAGACGCTGGATGGATCGGTCGTGCGCCAGGACCAGGAGCAGATCCGAGTCAAGGACATCCCGGCCGGGTGAATTACAGCCTATACGAGCCAAATAAGTAAACAACGGATAAAGGTTAAATTTCTCGGGCTTACGTATAGTGACGATTTCAGCCATCCTAGCTGGCTTGCGCTGGACTCTCTGATACCGTTGTAGGGTACTGAAGCGCATCTGAGTCCTCAATAGATCATGAATCGAAGATATCCGTAAGAAAAAAAGATGAGCAGTTGAGTACACGAAATGGATCTGTGAGATGAGAGCGTAGTGACGGTAGGAAAGAAAGGAACGAAGTACCTGGTCGGGCCGTCAATCACGTCAGCTGTACCCCGAACATCCCACGCACGGGCCCGCGACGCGTCAGGACTTACGGAGCTTCGGCACGTTTTATTTGTGTTGATTTGGCGTCCTCCGATTTCCTGACGTGACTGAAGGGACGTTGATCATGATTCGTGACCAGTCACGGCTTGTTTACCAGTTTCTTTGTTGTGCTCTTCAATCGCTGTATCCAAAATCCAATAACCATCCCGAAGAGTGTAAATCTGACATATTCAAGAGTTGGTTCGAAGGACGTAACGCAAACCGGTTGCTCTTTTTCTTCGGACATCCCCTGATCCTTCCTTTCCAGGCTAGGATAACGTTCAGCAGCATCAAGAACCCTGGCGAGAAGCTGTCGATACTACGCTGGGTCTCTTGGCTTTGTACATCCTGTGTCGATCACGAGACTAGCCTAAAATTCTCTCTGGATTCTTGTCTTGCGCTCGTACTTCCATAGGCATTCTCTCTCTCTCTCGGATGTGTTCCAACAGACAGCGGAGCTTGATGGTCTCCCTTGGCCAACAACCCCAGGAATGAGTGCGCTATTCTTACGTCTACTTCCAGCAACAGCTCACTGCTATCTTCTCTCAGCGACGATGATGAATCCCCCCAATCCTCAGATGCTGATGTGCAATGCAATTTCTGGAATCTGTTCCGCCTCCTCCCTCTTTCACGATACCCAACACGTCAAGGAGGTACAGTCAGGGAGTTCGTACCACTGCCTGTTGAACCAGTATCTACCCTCTCGATTTTCTATCCATCGAAGCGTATCTCGATGGTGTCGGAGTGCAAACGGACGCAACGAACACGCCCTGATTCTTTTCTACCGTCGCTTTTTGTCTTCATAGCGCCAGACTACAGCGTCGAAATATTTAATCCCTCCTCTCGTCTACGTCTCCAGCATCGTTGACTTTAGAATTATACGTGATGAATACAAACCACACGGTTGTTAGGTGCATTTCCCGCTATGTATACTATTCACGCGTCTTTTCTCATAGTCTTCCTTTAGCACAAATACGAATACAGCGTCGGCTTTCCAGACGCCGTTCTATCCGCCTATTGTTTACTCTCGTGCATTCATACTAAAGAACAGCTCCTTCAGCTTAGTGACGAGTACGCTTTATTCCAATTACGCATCCTACATTCGAGTATTTGTGTCCCTTTGTTCACTGACTTATGAAGAGTACACGCACTATCCTTGCAACAACCCGAATATCGATAGTTCACGGTTCCGTTAGCCCACCATAATATCGATCCCGGACTCATTTTCTCCATCTTATGCCCGAGTTCCTCCTACCGTATCGGCACGGGATATCTATTCAACAGCATCGTCATTTCCTAATGAAACCCTCCAGCTGGAACAAGCTTCGAATCAGCCGCTTGACTTTATAATGCCAAACACAATAGTATTGGATTGTACATCTACGAGATTTATGTTTTCGAACATGGGCTGACGGTTGATATACAAGCAATTCACCAAGACTGCTGTGTATGTTACCTTCCCCACCGAATTGGTTTCGTTATTCTCACTGGTTACTGCAGAAGGACTAAGTCATGTAACCAAACGACGAAGTGGCCCAGGTGGGACATGTGCGTAATGTTTTGTCTGATTTTTGTTTCTGAATGTTCCGGTGAAGATCCCCACCGCCCTCCATGTCCAAATTCCTGTGAGTCGTAGAAAATCCCGAAGCATTTTTATGCCCTTAAATGCATCCATACCTCGGACGTGCTTTACGTGCACACCATGTAATCCTGCAAGGGGGAATTCACCCTCGACCAACTCGACGCTCACTGCCTCGCCCATCACTTGATTCTCCCCTGCGATTCGCTTTGTCCATGTCGTGAGTATACAGCCTCTATAAACCATTCCAGCTCTGTCTGTGTTTTGTTGTTTCTGACTCCCACGACTACAGGGCTAAATTCTCAGCTTCAGAGGCTGATAAGCGCTTTTCAAGGGTACATCTCCATCCAAACTGAGTACGATGTCCTTGTTGACGGAATAAGTGCTGTTTAACACACCAGGATAATGGCGTCAAATGCCTCGATCTTCTAGCCATGCTGAGATTGGAGCTGATACTAGCAAGCATGTCCAGAATAATGGCGTTTATCTTGGCCATCTTGGTGGTGAATACAACGGTGCGGCTGTTAGTAGATTTATATCTAGGCCTCTTTGCTCGCGATATTCATTTAGCACGATTCCCCCCAGCGTTATTCCGTCTTCCTCATTTTAAGGATCTCATTTCTCCTCGGTTTGTGTTCCACTGAGAAGACAACCAGGATGTGTCCTCTTTCTTTTATTTAAGAGGATCCTTTGCGATATCATTCCCACGTGAATGAATGAGGTCACAGGTTTTCCCCCCACATGCTGGAGAGGATCAATCGCTTCCTCTAGGTGGAAAACTAGGTCTGTCATTTTGTTCCTTCGTGGGGTATTTCGCATACTCTACGAGGTACTTATATCGTCCTTCCGTCTTTAGAGACAGTGCGATTTCATTCGCCTAAGTATGCGTTATGTGAGCTGTTGCCAAAGAGATGCGCTAATAGACAGCTACAACCCATAGTCACGCGAAGATTCGGTGAATTATGCTGCCATGTCAAGTTCTTCCTCTTAATCTGTCCATTCCTCGGCACGGCCAAAATAGTGACCACTTTTCCGAAAAAGAGATGTACTCCCTTTTATCTCAGCGTTGTAAATTATAGTCTTTTCCAGCATTTAATCGCTCTGTATTCCTCTGAGTGAGTTAATTCGAAAATGAAGTGGAAGATACGTCTCCCTTCTCAGTAATGCTTCATGCTTCGCGTTAAAGATGGTAGTAGAGACTGGGGACACAAAAGCGGTCAAGAAATGTTTTTCATAACTTAAGACTCGAGAACGAAACGAAATGTGATCAAGTTCATCAGAAAAGCATGCAGCGTGACTGGAAACATGGTATAATAATAGGACAGCAAGGTAAAAGTACAGGCGAGAGATGAAATAAAAAAACTTAGAGGCGACTAGGTACTTTGGTGAGTCTAAAGAACATACCACCTGTCTCGCTGCTATTATACTTTTATCAAAGTTAGACCTAGTAAATCATCGAAGGAATGTTTTAGCAGGACCTTGAATAATTCCAAGTTTATAAAGCTTATGTGCCTCATCCAGGTTTGCCATCTCCAGCACCGACAATTTCTCAAACATTCCATCCGTCTTGGCTGTCCGACCACCCAAAAATAGCTCCAGCCATTCCGAAATAAAGCATTGCCTGTGCCTAGAAGTGTGTACGAGTCATCATCAGGTATCGAGTATTGGTGATCAGCGATGATCTTGAATTTGTGGGACGTCCCCTTATCATCTTTGACAACCAACTTTCCTTGCCGACGCTTTGTATTGTTTGATGAGTTAGCCAAACCCTGCACAGAAGCTGAGTCGATACAGGGTCCCTGATGCCAGTCAGCATCTGTCTCTTCTGTCCGATACACCTCCGCTGGCCATTCAAGATCTCCCAACAAAACGAATTTCGCGTTCATCACTTGCGTCCATGATGGTCCCCAATATGTGTTTCCTTCGCCCGGCTGAGGGTAGCAGTAGAACAACCTTATCCGAATCAAATAGTCCATGGCGTGCACAAGGTCTTCCCATGAGCTCTCTTCCGATTGCTTTGCATCATATATTGTGATATACTGTGGGTTGAGACGGTATATCAAGCCTGCAACCTTGTCCATAGGATTTGCTGACACCCGTCTCTGCATCTCTGTGAGGGTGTCCCCTACTGAGCCTATCTTCTTCAGTGATCTCAATTCTGCGCGGAACACCATTTGGATGATGTCATCTCCAGTGTCGCCACCAATGATCACCTTACCCTCAGGGTTGATCTCCTGAAGCATCCAGGCACATTTGAACCAACATCAATCACTCTTGAAGTACAGTACAAGATGTGATAATGCAAGAGGTGATAATGCATAAGATGTAGTAATGCATATGATGGGGTGACTCCCGACCTCGTTCGCAGGGATTTATGCACAAGATGTAATATATCATAATGCATAGCATTGCCGAAAAGGTTTGGCAGGGATATGCATTATCACATCTAAAATGATACCGGATCTGGAGCATAGTGATGCACATGCACCTGCTAAAATACCATATGCATTGGTGCGAAACTCTGATCCTGTTAGGTCCAAAATGCGAATACGTAGGAAATAGAGCAGAATACGCGAGAAAATACCCTAAAATACCCGAATTGGGTGCGGCACATCACATTGTCACAACGCGTCTCATCTGAGTCGTTGGAAGATGTTTGACAGACGATATCCGCAGGAGCCGGGGATATGCACGGACATGTATACACGAGATGGACCCTTGAAGCGAAAGCGTTAGTGCAGGTAGGAAAGGAAGAAAAGAAGGATGCCCCAGATCGGACTGTCAGTCACGGTGGGTGTACCCCGGACACCCCGCGCACCAGCCCGCGGCGCGACTTTGTGGGAGCTACCAAATACGGAGCTTTAAAGCAGCCACGGAAGCCGTTTCAATCCTTTCTCGCAGGCGTGTTGGGGCTGTTTTCTGTGCACCTAAAGCTGAGAATTCTGTGGAAGTCTAGAAGGCAAGCGGGAGTACTGGCGGGCGAACGTAGCCCACGAAAGGTACCCAAGCGCTTGACGGGATTAAGAGGGTGAGGAATAACCTTGTTCCCCTGGCAAAGCGATACCTCGCGAACGGAAGAGAGCCCGTGCTGACGGAGTCAAGATCCTTCCTCGTGCCTTGTTAGCCTCGCCATACTACATGAATCACCAACACATATTCATTTTGATGGTTGACCATGTGTCACTCCCGTTGAATATAAAGACGTGCCGTTATGATGTAAAACACGACCCTAGCAAACAGAATGTTCACAGCGGCAGAAGAGACAGGGTCTGCGACAACTGGAGCTCATGGTCTTCATTTATTCATACTTTTCTTTGTGGAAGGAGAACCTGCATCGATGGAGATTCTGTCGTAGCACATCCAAGTGTGAATAATGATAATGCGAGTGAAATTGATGTAAGGATGGAGGTAATGACAGTCGTAGGGTCGTGATAATACATGAATGTTGCAGAAAGCAAGGATGGATATAGGATAGCAATCAAAGCAGAACAGCACGGATCTGCTCAAAGGTCAGACGGGATCAACGAGGAAGAGAGAGAGAGATGCGTACGTTACCAGACACAATAGAACTGAAATGACGAAAGTGCAGAGCAGCAGAAACAGAAGAGGGGGAAAAACAGTCAGATCATGCACAAGCAGAAGATAAAGCAAAGCTGAAAGTTCAGAGCAGCGTCGCACTGGTAAGGTTGGCCAGAAGGATGATACTAGACAGAGAAAGGGAAAAAAGACGGTGGGGATAGATCGAGTGTAACGTCCGGGAATGATGACGTGATGGAACAAGAGAAAGAGTACTCACTCTAAGGGACGAATGTCACTGATCGAAGAATGGTGAAAACCAAATGTGACGTAGCGTACCTTCTACAGTGGCCATTACGGGCCGAAGCATGGCGGTGTCAATCGCCGTCGTTATGCTAGGCGAATACACATCAGCCACCTCACAATCAAAGCAGCATGAAACTTACTGAATATATATCTTCCGACCAGTGTTAGTGGCCAATTTCATGAACCGACGTTTGAAGTAATCGCGACCTGCACGAACATCACCTCGCTCACCATCAAAATCCTAACAACTGATGAGGGAAACGATCATCTACAGATAGGCGGGAGAACATCACGCACTGGGAAGAAATTTCTGATATCAGAATGCGGTATCTTCTTTTCGAAGAGGTCATTCTTGTTCAAGAATAAGATCTAAAGGGAATACGGAACTCGGCATCAGTCTTTCTGGAAGTATGGGGGAGCACCACGTACAACCGAAGTGTTCTTGAACCACTGCGAGTGGCACACCGAGTCCCATATGGTCATCGCGTCTTGCATTTGATTCTATCAGATCACGTCAGAGCGGTGAATCACCGGCTTTTCAATGCTAATCACACACCGCGTCCTTATCCTCGACCAGACATTGGTCATACCCACTCAAACTGACGAGGAACAGGATACTCGTCACGTCCTGAAAACAATGAATCCATTTCCGCCTCTCAGACTTTTGGCCGCCGACATCAACCATAGTGAGCTCGCGTTCTTGAAGATACAAGACTGTTTCCTTGATCCCAATCGTCCGAACGCGACATTGTATGATATCCTGCTCAGTCGGAAGATACTGGGGATCGAATAGACGATCAAGGTCCGAGAAGAAATACTCCAAGCTGCTCTTCGTAAGAACACGTAAACTGGGGGTGGGGAAGGCGTACTTTTCAGGTAGAGCTGCTTCATTCCCTCTCCGCCATGCCTTGCGAATACCAGCATCAGACCAAAGCGCCTTGATCGGCTCAAGGTACTCCATCGGGAACGGCTCTCCGTCCTTCAAGTATCGCGCATTGTTAACGACATCGATAGAGTCAATGTTGTCCTCCGAAACTTTGAGATTCATATCCTTCATCGCATCGAGGATACACTTCAAGTCACCAGTAAGATTGTCAAACGTGAACTGCCGATATGACTCTACTTCTTGCGGTGAAAACGGATTTTTATAGATGAGACGCATTTGCTATCGAAACGAATGAGTGCTGCTTAGTAGGAGATGTGGAGACGCACCTTTAGTACCGTCGATTTTCCAGAATCCCCAGATCCCAAAAGTAAAACCTACTCGCAACACATAAGTAGCGAATTCATACCGACACGATACCGTACAAATACCTTGACTTGTGTCGCCATTTTGGCCTTGGCCTGGTCGCATAACTTGTCAGTACTATAGATAACCGGACATGGATAATGAACGCACCTCCTTGAGCTCCTTTTCAGCTTTCTTATGCAAAGCCCTGTCTGCATCTGTGACCTCGAAGTTTTGAGAAGAAAAGCATGCGCCCATTGTGCAGAGTCGGTAAGAGTAAGGCTGGCGACAGCACGACAAAGCGTAGGTTTCAATGAACCCAATTCAGCACCGAAGAATTTAACAGAGAGGGGGAAATTGAAGATATACAAGATATAAAGTAGTATGAAAAAGGAGAAAGGAAACAGGAAACAGGAGAGTCGTCCTGGCAATTCAATTTCAAGAACATGGCTTCAATTGTTTGGGAAATTTTCCGATCAAATTACGTGAAGATATGGATTTTCGCGGAAGCAATCTTATTTCGAAACATTGCGGTGAAATGGAAAGTCCATAACCGGTCATCATTGCCTCGCCAAGCCCGTCCAAGCCAGTCACGTTCCTCCGCAGAACTACGCAGTAATGTCGAACGACCTAGCTGTTGTAGTATAGCTTAACTGAATGAATAAATAAAATAGTTCCTTGCAGCAAATACAATGTAGATTTTTCGAATCCAAAATAAAAGACTGACAATTGATAGACTCGATTCTGTAGATTGCCAAGGATTGATTCATCGTAGGAAGAAGTTAAGACATGCGGTAGATGAGCTCTAGATAGACAGCCAAATTGACTATCTCGTTCCTAGAATTAGCTTACAAACCCAAGCAATGATAATCATATCCCAATCGGCCCGTGGCTAACATTGTCATGAGTTCAGTGAACGCCACAATGCATTCCCTCTCTAAGTAAACATCAAGCTTCTATGCGCAGGAAACGCCCGGAGGTATTAATTGTTGATCTGCACGCGGACCGTGAGTAATACCCCTAAAGTTTTTCCACCAGTCGTATGTAAGAATATCGTCTGCGCATCCTGGCACATTCAAGATGGGACATATGGATAGCACTCAAATTAGCTTCCAAACACGTTTAACCAATACACCTTACGGAGCCACATATCTGTCATCTTGCTAATCTTGCGCCGTTGTGTAAATCAGGGCCGATCAGATGTTTACGACACTTTCATTCCCAGAACAACAGACGGGCTAACCGTAAAATTTAAAAATCAAGTAAAATCCTACTCAGTCAGTACATTCTCACACGGTCGCGTCGATCCCTAAGGAAACCCGCCCTGGTTATTAAGTGAAATCAAGTTTGAAGTGGAAGGGTAAATACCAAAATCTCTGAAAGCGGATGAATGCTACGGGAATAGCACAAACGAGAGGGATTTATCAAGAAGGGAATAATACAAACAAGTAGTGGATCGGCATATGTTATGATGCTAAGTGCTGCTGTCATGCATAGTCTCGTTCCCATCTGTAAAAGTGATATCTCTTTCTCCTCGCTAACGCTCGGAGAGATCGGTCCGAGCCACGTTTTGGGAGTTCCAAAAAAACGTGGGTGCCACGTGGACACCATCCGCTAGAACAGACGGGGATGAGACTAGTTATGCAATCTTTAGGCGGGGACCTTAATGCCGTCAGGACCAGAGAGGAATCACTAGCCAAGTATCGGAAATTCATAAACAAATCTAGAAAAAGTGGGAATGCCTACCGCCCAGAAGAAAGAACGAGGGGTACGGAGGAACTGAAAATGTCAAAGTTTCTGATTGAGATATAGGCCATCACGAATGAATTACATATGAAGGGCTTCAACCAGCTGTGACATTCACGGGCACTAGAAATTCAGCGTGATCACTTGTGTGGTACCACGCTGGCGTGCCACGCTGCCACGCAGGCTACCATGCAGAATTCTTCTTGCCCGACATTCACTAAGCACCCCGTTCGTCATCCTGGACGTACGCATCAAAGAAAGAGGAAAATGATCCAAAACGCCGTATATATATATTTTTTCAAATAAACGTTTCGTGGATGCGCTAACAATATTTCTGGACCTCCAAGCACGAAGATCTCACAACTAGATAGATGTTCGTCAGAATCATAGAACGACGAAAGCTCACCGTTCTCAACACTTCTCTTAAGAACCACCCTGTCGCTGTCTCATGCTCCGTGTTTAAGAGTCTTGATTCGTGCACTCGTATAGGGTAGCCAAGGTAGATCTCATTGAGTTGTGAAGCATGCCTAAGGAAACATCTCCGCTAAGAATCAGCCGTACAGTCCTCGGCACGCGAACGAAACTGGCTGGCTGGATAGTTCCGAGCCCGTCCGCCTCTGCGAAGATGCTCGCTGCTGACATCGACGAGACTGGGATGCTGAACCGAGACATGGACTTGTTGGTAAAAGCGTCCGTCGCACGTCGATAATCTGTTGTACATCCAGTAATGTTAACACAGTACCAAATAATCAACGTAACGCTACTATCCAAGGATATCCATACGCAACCGTTATCAATGACGCTTTCACTGTCATACACCCTGTTCATGATACTTATTGGTTGTCGAGCTCGCTCGCCAGATTTCTGCGGAACAACATCGGCGTAGACGTTAATAGCACAAATATTCGCTTGTTGCTAGACAGTCATGCATCTGGAAGGAAGATGGCTGGTCTTCTTGGATCTACGAAGCAACAGTGGGGTCCACCGATGGGATTCGTACGTCACGCATTCACATCTATGCGAGAAATCTACAAACAAGCCACCGAAAGGAGAAAGCTACACGTACCCAGTCAATCTTGTCCAGAAATCAGAAGCAATGATAAACGTAGCTCTAACGTCTCGAAAGGAATCCAGGGGCATCGATGGACCTCCAAAATAGTCCCAAAAAATGGGGTAGACTTAAATACAGCGAGATGTGTGTGCCTCGGCCCTAGTCAGGCTGGATGGTAAAGAGTTAGACAAGGGAAAGGCGATATCCTCATTGAAGTGAAAGTTTGTGGAAATGCCAGGCTTCTTGCCCTTACGGTCGCGAATGAAGCAGAGAGCGGTCACGTCACAAGAACACAGTCAAGCAGTAGGAAAATCAAATGTAGACTGCGGGACATCGCACTACAGGGCTCTTGGAGTCACGCATCACATTTCTTGGGCTCACGATCACTCAGAAGACTCGATAACGGCAGTCACTGAATAGAATACGCAGAAATACAGCCGAACTATACTGAGTCAGAAGGGCCATCATCAGAGCAAAAGAATCAACGTACCATCAAGTACACAATACAAAAGCTGGTATTAATACACCATGAATTTGCCATCGTGCCTTATTCTGCATGGAAGATATGAAATCTAGTGCTTTATGAACGGAAGGGGGAACTGACCCGAGAAAGTCATTATGAAATCCTTTGGGAGGAGTGAATCGTGCGCCAAGCATAGGCAAGGTGCATGCCTATCCGCGTAACGACTTCAAAAGTGGATATATGCGGAATAGCATCATCGAGAACCAGACAGGAACGTAGGTAGGTAGGAGTATGCGGCACAGTCCATCGAGAGATGCCAGGCGTAGATAATAGCATCGTACATGATGGATCTACTGCTGTGCATCGAAGATGTGAGATGTAGGACTGTATGAACGGAACGGGTGAGCTGACCCGGAAAAGAGACATAAAATCTTTCGGGAAGAAGACGGGCCATAATATTTCGCGTATCAAGCCTAGGCAAGTGAGGGGAACGTCCATGGATAGTCACATAAGAGCGTTGAAAGATGTATGCCTAAGATCATCGCTGAGGACCGGCAACATACTCGGACCAAGCACATCTTGCTCACCCAATCAGAGGAAGAAAATCTCTGCAGCGCCTAAGCATGAGAAGGGGACAGCATTGGAAATGCAACGTACTGAACAAGTACCTCGAGCTTTTCCACCGCAACTTCGCACAGCTTGCACGCTGTTTACGCCAATGAGATCTTCTCCACGTTTGCGCGCATTGCGGAGATAGATCGGTAGGTCACCGGTAATGCGGAAGGTCCAGAGGCGGTTCGGAGTCAAGGACATCTCGGCATGGTGAATTACAACCTTAGTCATATAGGGTTATACGAGGACTTACTAGATTACACAAGTTACTGTTGTATTTTGGACTGTATCCTAGTACAATGCTATTGAGACCTCTAGTCTCTGGGTTACAAACTCGTGAGTTTACTTCGCATATTTATACTAAACTACACCTATTCTAGTAATTTCTATACAATCATTCTCTTACCAATCTCTTACTCAGCATGCCGGATTGCCGGATTGCCAGAATCATCTCGCATTTTCCAACACACTCCTGGTAAGCGACTGTTTCAAATGGGACAAAATTCTGGGAAAATGGGTGAACAACAGATTAAATTCTGATCAAGGCTTTTGGTCATAGCAAAATGAGTCGGGATTCCCTTTAATGGTAAAGCCGATGCATTTTGCTGTGATCAAAAGCTTGGGTCAAAATGTTATCTGCGTTTTAATTGTTTCCCATGCATTTTGACCAGCGCTAGTTAGTCACCTGCCAGGAGTGACAGTTACATCAGTAAACGACAGATGAAACTGAAGCTTCCTGAACTCACCTATGGTGGAAAATCTTCAACATCCCAGCTGGCATGCACTGGACTCTCTGATACACTTGAAAGGTGCTGAAGGGTGTCCGAGTCCATAATAGATGATGGACAACCGATATACAAGGAAAAGAGAGGTAAACAGTTGGGTACACGAGATGGATCTGTAAAGTGGGAGCACAATGAAGGTAGGAAAGAAAGGAACCCCCAGGTCGGGCCTTCAATCTCCGTGGCTGTACCCGGAACACCCGGCGCACGGGCCCACCACGCGTCAGGACTGACGGAGCTTCGGCACGTTCTATTTGTGATGATTTGTGTCCTCCGATTTCCCGACTCTCATTACATCATTTGTTCCCCACTGTATTCCATCAATGGTCATCATCACCGCCGACTATCCCTCGATCCATCTTTCAACTTGCTTTCAACTGAAGTTCTCGTTGCTGGCTACGCCGCGTTGAATAACCCTTCCTCCAACATTCCTTCTCATGAAATCACAGCATCGATAGACAGATTTGGATGAGCACTTTGCTATTATTCTTGAGCCAGTCAAGGCCAGTCCGGATCTTTGACTTGAGCACTTTGACTGAGCAGGATACTGGTAGTCATCAGGTGTGTAGCTCACCATTATGATAAGGCCATCTCTAACCATAAACATGTAGCTATAGAAACTACTTCCTGCTGCTTTCTGGTTGCTACATCGTGGGATTCGCAGGTCCAACTTTCGTCACCATCCATGGAATGACAATTTACTGTAGAGAATGAATCTGAGAAAACAAGGGTGCAGGTAGGTCCATGAACACGTTACTCTTCTCTCTACAAACTAATATATCAGAGTTCAGACACGATTGCGGGGGATCAACGTTGAAGTTCTGGCATTACAAGATGTCTTGCTCGAACAGCGATAAGCGAGAACACCACATTTTGAACGATGACCAGGATTACGAGCTTGAGTCATGGTGGGAGCTCGGCGCTCTCAGCAGAGCTATCGGTACCCGATCTATGGTTCGTCTTAAAGTCTCTCCTCTTTCTGCGTCAAACTAACAGACACCTCGCAAGTAGTAACAAATTCCTTGCGGTTGTTAGCACCCAACACGGGCAGTATGTCGTCGTCAAGACTGTACTCCCTTGAGTTCGTCGCTGACAACGATGATGGCACAACTGAAGGCATCTTTGCTGCCCACGTTGGATGACGTCATTGGTAGGACCCTCTGTGTGCAACGTCCGGCAGCTATTTCTTGTTACGGCCTGCATTTGTACTTATATCCCACACAAGGTTATCAATACAGTGTTAACAACTCCGATTCCAAGGTATTATAGACGATCAGGAAACCGTCTCGGGACGCTGCGGTTCAAGTCCACTGGGCTTATTTACGGAAAACAAGCAAGTTTTTTTTTCGTGCCTGTCACAGGTTATCCTCGTAGCCGTACCTTTTCTGTCATAATATCTGTCACAGAATAATGAATCGCTCTCCTTATTGGACATCATCCCCTCTAGAGTCTGATTTCTCATGCCAAAATGGATCATGGGTGTGAGGCAGGGTTCGATTCCGTGCGTCAGCTCATAGCTACTGCGAGAATCATTTTATTTTCCGGTTTTCTTTGTAGATGGCGTTGCTTGATTGAGAGATACTGATCAGTTAATCAATACATCATCGTAGATCAGCGGGACAGCTGGATCTCAAGCTTGACTTCGGTTCGAGTCTGAGGGTTGTTACTGCATGAGTAGTAGATGGCATACTTTTGGCAAGGTCTGTCATTTGATTGTTTTCAATACCAATTCGGTTCGGATAGCTCACTCTGTTGAGATTTGAGCACAGGAGGGAACGAAAATGAGCAACTCGTTTATACCTAGTATGTCGACATGGTGGTAAACGGTAAAGAAAAGAAAACTGTGGGTATGGTACGTAACCAGTTCGGAGCTGGTTGATTCCGACAGCCCATACAGCCACAGTAATTCCAACACGCTCGCTGTAAAGAGGGCACAAGGAGAAATCAGCTGTCCCTGGTAAAGAGGCTACTGGTCATCGTGCTGCAGTGTTCTCTTTCTCATACATAGATGGCTTCTTATACTAGGTGGGGAATGTAGTCTGTTTATTAACCTACCATAGATTAATGGACGCTCCACCCACTTCTCGGGGAAGATCATCACAGCTCGGTTCCACACTGTAGCATTACCTCAATCCCCGCAATTTTTGGATCTCTTCCTGTCTTAACCCACCGTGTACTGAGCTGTATGTATATCCCAAAAATTCACCCGGGTTGTAGCTCGATTCTGTATTTTAGCATCCATTCGATCCTGGTCAGCGAAAGAAGAAATGGATAGCAGAATTCTATTAGTGTCCATTTTTTTTCTTTGCTTCGACAACTTGAAGTATCTTCAAAGGCAAGTAGGAATACTACCACTGTGGATCAAAGCAGCTCATTCTCACGAACTTCGTCCTAATATGAAGAAGAGATTTCATCTCTGAGATTGTAGTGTCTCTAGGGATTCATTACAGAACGAGTATTCCAGATTTGACTGATGGATGTGAGATAAATTTGGATGCTCGTTCATATATGGATTCGAACTTCTGACCACTCAGAACTACGGCAAAAATCAAACTAGCAACTGCCTGCACAAATTGTGGGGTGTTCTAGGTTTATTCTCGTGCGATTAGTCTAACCATACGCAGGATCGTGCCTCCTTGTGTCGGCCAAATTGTTCTGCTAAGACAAACAGGCCGTTCGAATTCAATCCCGATATTACCCATCCTTGAATTTTAATTCTTCGTGTTAACCAACTATTCGACTCTTATTCTTCCTCCATCATACATCCGAAGGAAAGCTACACCATGAAACTGATGGAATAGCTGCACCAGCTGGAAGGTTTGACTCCCCTGCCTGGCGATTTTGTGGTATTGCCGACCTTTTGCTTGGGAGTTTTCATTTTCCTGCAGGTTTCATGGGGGGTTCAGGTAGTAAAACGGGGGTCACAGTAATTCTGTACTCTTCTGTGTTCAACTTTGGCAGTCAGTGCCGGGAACCTGACTAGCTTTTGTGCGTAAGTACATAGGTAGTAATGCACGGCACGGTGGCGTCGACAGTTCGAATTCATTCGTTTGCGACTTTCAATTCCCACAAGAGATTATTTTTTGGCATTGAACATGACTGTTTTAGGACATTAATTGGATTTTAGTTCACGAAGACTCAATACAGGATCCGTCCTAAGGTCTATCTTGAAAGGGCTGACTATTCTTCGGTTTTGTTCCAATATTTTAATGTCTGAGACGCCCGTGCCTGTCGCAACGTGTTTGTATTCCGATGTTCTAATAATTCTACAGTATGCTCTGAACATGTTGCTTTGTACCGATCAGGAAATAGCAGAGGGCAGTTCAGTGACGGATAAAAATCACACTCTTGTGTTTGTTTGAATAATCCGTGTATTGGTGCATACTCAATACATAGGGTTAGCCCAAGTTGAAACGTCGCCTAGACCTGCACTGGGAAATCCAATCTGCATCGGAGAAGAAATAGGTCAAACTACCTCTCGATAAGCAAATACTTGCGTGCTGATAACAAAGCCATTGAAAAAAAGTTGATGCATCATTCAAAAAGTGGGGCTTTGAATATACTGGAGTTTCAGCTCAACCCGAATTAGTTGGCGTCTGCCTATTACTTATCCAGTAGAATTCACAGGTGTGGAGGCAATGGCAGATGTGTCTCATGAGTAATTAATTTGCTACCGTGCAGATGATATCGATATCGTAAAATGGACCTAAAGATTGCTCAATTAACAGGAAAGAGCCCTTTTGGTGGTGATCATGGTAGCAACACAAAGAGAAGCGCTCCGAAGACCGCTCACGGACCGGAACTTCACACGTGGTGGTGAGCGAGAAACAAACAACATTTAAATTTTCTCATCTTGGCTTTCTTACCATCAGAGGTGACATCATGGTAATGATCGCCTTTCTGTGTGGGGAAGGAATGAGTCGCCAGAACCTTCCCCGTAGATGGTTTATTCGATGAAGCTAATGATCTCAGTGGATCCTGAAAATCCAATGCTGGCAGCCATCTCCTCTGAGCTCATAGTACAAGGGGTTGATCGTTATTGCGTCTGTAAATGAGGACCCTGAGGCTTTTGATTCTCCTTGATAGCCGATCCGACAGCTGAAGGTTCCGAGACCATCTCTCTATCGGACAAATGTTAATCCCTACGGAAAGTGATAAAAATTCCGTCCTTCAGCCCAGCTACATAGCACTTCTTTTTCTTGACCTCCTCATCGACCGGCCCGTTCATCGATACAATCGTTCCTACACAATCTTATCGTGCCAGTAAAATGTAGAATGAAACTAGTGCCAAATGTTGGTTGAAGCTTGATTGACGCGTTCAAGCTCGTCGTGGACAAGTGAATACTTTGACTCAGAATTTTGGCCTGGTCCTTACACATATGATTACCGTTCGCTCCAGGAGTGGATACGGTTCCTTTAATCCGATAAATATCAAAACGTTCACACGGA